GAGTGCAAGCTGCTGTCCTGGGGTTTCTTGCAGAAGAAGCCATTCCATATTTAAACTGAATTCAGCAACCAGCATTATCTTGCTAAGATAAAGGCCTAGTCTCAAGAAGTGTAGAGTCTAGGGTTGAGTATTTACCTATTCTATTTAGGACCCTGGGTTTCAATCCTCAGCACTGGGGTGGGGGGAGGGGAAGTTTTACGATGTAGTTGCTTAGAGAAACAACGTAAGTTCATGATTCATTTGCTCAGTAGAGAAATTCAGGTGCTGGCCTGGATTCCTTTCTTTGCTTTATCCCCATTGTTTACTCTCCCTTACTCTCATTCTTGTTTCCATTTTCCACCTTGATATCCGTGTTCAAACCTCTCTTACCTAGAATACTTATATGTTGTAAAGTCTCCTAGCTGGCTTTGCTTCTCATGGCCTTAATACACACACACACAGGTGTGTTCCTGTTTCGTGTTGTGTTCGTGTGCACACGAGCACACACACACACATACATGCAATTATGTGGATGTGAGGGTAATATATTTAATAATTTTTTTTTTCTGAGACAGGGTTTCTCTGTGTAGCTTTGTAGACCAGGCTGGCCTTGAACTCACAGAGATTGGTCTGCCTCTGCCTCCTGAGTGCTGTGATTAAAGGTGTCCACCACCACCTCCTGGCTTTTAATAGAATATTTTATTTATTCTTTGAGACTCTCTTCCACATATACATTGTATTTTGATACTATTTACTCACACTTTCTTCTCCAACTCCTTCAGGATGACCCCACACACACACACATACACATACACATTGGTTTTAATTATTTGTTTTTATTTTATGTGCATTGGTGTTTTGCCTGTGTGTATGTCTGTGTGAAGGTGTCAGATCTTGGAGCTATAGACAGTTGTGAGCTTCCATGTGGGTACTGGGAATTGAACCCAGGTCCTCTGAAGAGCAGCCAATGCTCTTAACCACCAAGCCATCTCTCCAGCCCCCTGGTTTTGTTTTTGAGACAAGATCTCTCTATGTAGCCCAGGTTGGCCTCAAACGTTATCAGGATGGATTAGAATAGTTGGCTTTTTTATTTTTCCTGAGTTAAGGTCTAGTTGTGTTATCCTGACTGACCGTGAACTCCTGACCTCAATCAATCCTTTTACCCCAGTTTTCCAATAGCTGAATCCAGATGTTGTCACCATGCCAGGTACGTTTATTGAATTTAATCATGCCATTTCACAGTTTAAAATGCTAGAATTACTTCCATGATACTTAGATTAAACTTGAAATTGCAATCTGACATAGTCATGCACACCTGTAGTTTCAGCATTCAGAAGGCACAGGAAGGAGGAACATGAACTCACGGCCAACCTGGAGCTGGATAGTGCACACCTGCATGGTGCACACCTGCAATCCCAGTATTCCAGAGTGTTAGCAGGAGGATCAGGCTCAGGCCAGCCTGGGAAAAACGAGACTCTGTCTCAAGAACAAAATAAAACAAAACCAGGACTACCACCACTACCACCACTAGCAATATTTTTATTAAATCCAGAATTTGGGAGGCATCACTTCAAGGCCAGCCTAATGTACAGAGCGAGTTTCCTGGGATCCATATGGTGGAAGAAGAGACCCAAGTCCTACAAGTTATCCTCAGACCTCCACAAGTGGGTTGTGGTGTGGTGTTCCTGCTGCAGACACAAGTGGAGGCAAGTAGGAGCTGTAACTTCAGTCTAAGTGGCTTGTTTGGCTTCCTCAGATAGCTGCCCAAACAGGCAAATGTGGAGGCTCTGAGAGGCAGGGCATCCTGTGCTGGCTTCTACTCCTCCCTGTGTGTTCTAGTTTCTTGGCTCTTTCTTGGTGTCTGGCGCTTTTCTTTATTCCTCTCACATTCTGCCCTCTGTTCCGGAGGCTTTCGAAGTAACTCTCTTAGTCTCCTTTTAAATTCCCTGCCCCGTGCCCCCACTTTTGAGTATCACCTTGTCTCTCGGTCTGAGCCTCTCTGGGGGTGGTCTTCTCCTCTATTCCACCCAGATACACGCTCTGTCCTCTTGTCCCACCATGTTTCATTACAGTACCTGGGGTCGGGGGTAAGAGAGAACCCTCTAGGACCAAAAGACGCAGTAGGGGGCGGGTCCAATCCCTCTATTTGCATATGCATGAGGTCTCTGGAGCGAGCATCGAAGAGGCGGGGTCTGGGGGGAGTGGGTGGGAAGGGGGC